AAAAAGGTTGAAAAAACGATGAAAAATTCACGAGCAGATTTTCAGAGGGTAATTATTTGTCTCGTAAAAAATGGGCTAACCTCTAAAAACGGGAAATTATCCTTATCCTTTTTTTCTATTGAACCCAAATTCTCATATATGGGTATGTAGTGTGCGAGATAAGTCAAAAAGTTTCAAAACACGGTAAAAAAACCGAATATTCGAGTTTGCTGAGGGTCTTAACTTCTTGTGTGAAAAAATTGGGGCGTAGCCGCTTGATCAGGGGAGTTCTCCTCTTACCTTCCATTCGATTAAAACTAAAAACTCAGATATGGGAGGTACTTTCCAAGAAAAATCAAAAAGTTTCAAAAAATGGTCAAAAAGCCGAAAAACTGACTTTTTTGAGGGCCATAAATTTTTGTGTAAAAAAGTGGGCGTAGCCGCAAATGCAGGGGAGTATTCGACCTCTTGTTCTATCCATTGGACCCAAAATCTCAGATTTGGGAGGGTAGTTTTCGGGAGAATATAGATAATTCAAAAATTGGGTCAAAAATCCCCCCAACACACTTTTTCCAAGTTCACGGTTTTTTGCGTTAAAAACTTGGGCGTAGCCACTTAAGCAGAAGACATTCGAGCAACCTGTTATTTCAATCGAGCCAAAAATCTCAAATTTGGGAAGGTAGTAGTTTTAAAGTAGCAAAAATTAAAATTTACTGAGCGGAAACAAAGCCGACAAAGGTGAGCCGAAAAAGCAGACAGCAGTTATGCCGAAAAAAATTTGATTTAAAAAAGTTGGAAATTACCCTAAAAATACAATGAACAACATTTGCAACTACCAAGATGCTTGTTTACAGCGAAGGAAAATTCTGCGATATGGCACCCATATAGACAAAATTTGAGCAAAGAAACGAAAGACCGGGACACTTTAATTTCTACAGTATTTTTTTTTTCACTTTTATACATATCGAAAAAACAAGGTCCTGCCGGTGCTGAAACCCCAGATTTTAGGGTGGCAACGAAACCCCGCTACTTTTAGGCCGAAAGGGAAGGAACCTGGAAATTTTTAAGGTTCAATGAAAAAACCAGTTCAATTCTAGCTGTTTACGGGCAAAAGTCTAGTTCCAGATAACACAACACTTGCTCTCGAAGTGTAAAAAAATTTAAAAAAAACAAGGTTGTTGCTTTTTTGTTGGTGTCAGGTCAAAACATTGATTGTTCCCATAACCTTTTAAATGATCTGGAAAAATTTGTCCAGTATAAAAAATTTCGTTAAACATAATTTTTGAGCTTTGTTTGCTTTTCATACCTTAACGACAGCCAATAGCACGAAAAATTTTGAAGTGCAAACTATATCAAAAATTGAAGTTTGCGCTGGGCAAAAAAAAGACCACAAGAGCCCAGCCAAAGCTTAAAATACTTGTTTGATGCTTATTACTTTTTTGTACTGATGCGGGATGGAATAGGTAATTTCAAATTTTACGACACCAGTAAAAAAAAGTTGCAAAACCATCAAAAGACATAGTTTGACTCTATCAAAAGCGTAATTTTGTTACTTAAAAATTTGGGCGTAGCTGCTCCTGCCGGAGAGCTTCCACAAGCCGTTCCACTCATTGAAACAAAAATCTCAGATAGGGGAGGGTAGTTTCCGAGAAAAATCATAAAATTTCGAAAGACGGTCAAAAAATGAAAATTTGACAATTCCGGGAAACAAAAAGTTTTTTGGAAATTATTTGGGCGTAGCCATTAATGCAGAGAGTTTCTCACAACCTGTTTGATCCATTATTCCTAAAAACTCTGACTCTGGTGGATGAAAGCATGAGAGAACCAATATTGAAGAATACGAAACTACGTGAGCACTTGGAATCGGGTACGAAAAAATTAATTCAACTTCAAAATTTCTTGCTTTGAATATATATATCTTTAAGCAATGAAACTGGAATTATTTATTAGACGTAGAGGCAAAGCAAAGCTTTGCTTTACTTGTGATACTACACAAGCATAAAAAAATGAGAAAAAAAAACTTAAAATGTTTTAAAAAAGATTACCAAAGTTTTCGTAACGCTCGATAAAATATAACTAGGAGCCAGCTAATGCTGGAGGTACATGTTTGATACTTTCTGGATTGGTTATACTAATGCAAAATGAACTGGGTAATTTCAAAAAAGGACTTTGGCTAAAACTTTAGTTGTTTCTCTTCTAAAATATATTAGAAGAGCGAAAATTTTTCCGTTTCGAGTTTTCCCAAGGAACAGTCAAAAGAGTTTGAAAAACAATCAAAATATCAAAAATTTGACTTTCTGAGCTTAATAAGTTTTTCTGAAAAAACTTGTTGGAGGCCGCTGAAGCAAAAAGATAATTAAACGGGGTTTCTCGAATTAGGATTTAACCTGAGAAATCGCAGTGTAGTTTTCAAGAACAATCAAAAAGAGTTCCGAAAAAACTGTCAAAATTGCAAAAATTTGACTTTTGAAGCTTATATTTTTGTTTTTGAAATTGGGATAAGCCAATTATAAAGGTAGGTTTTCAGCAGCGCGCTATTTCGGTTGAACACTTGATATCCGAATCGGCAGAATAAGTATCAAAAAACGACAAAAAAAACTTCCAAAAAACGGTCAATAAATTTCCAACAATCCGAGGGTCATAACTATTTGTGTGAAAATATTCGGGCGTAAACGGCTTAATTAGGGGATTTCTTTACAACCCGTTCTTTTGATTGACAATAATATCTCAGATTTTACTGTGTAGTTTTTGAGAAATGTCAAAAAGTTTCAAAAAATGGTCAAAAATTCAAAAAGGCGACTTATACAAAGATCATAACTTTTTGTTCAAGAAAATTTGGGTTTAACCGTTTATGCAGAGGATCTTGCCACAACCCTTTTTACACAGAGAAATCAAAATCTCAGATTTGGGAGGGTAGTTTTCAAGAAAAATCAAGTTTGAAAAAACGGTCACATTTTTTCGAAGTCTATAGAAAGTGGGTTAAGGTAAATAAAGACTAGGGGATTAAACAGGTACATAGATCTCATTGTTACCATTTTTTTTTAAATCGGCAGAATAGTTTTTGAAAGTTTTAAGTTTTTGAAAAAGTGAAAATTTTTTCCAAAGCGTCTCGAAATAACTAAGAAAAAACCCGATTCCATATTGTTTTATAATACGTGTTTTAATCGAACTGGAATTTACTTTGCCTCAATTCACTTCACTAGAGGCCCAAATAAAACTGGAGGAACCTGTTTGAAAACTTTTGATTTTGTTGAACTGATGCGTGATGAAATAGAGAACTTCAAAAATTTAAAAATTGGGCTTCACCAAAAACCTTAGTCGTTGCTCTCTGAAAACATGAGTGAAAAATTTTTTGCGGTTTTAGATTTTTCACAAAAATAGGTTTACGCACACTGCGCAACTTGTTGCCTCAATTAAAACCCTTGATATTAGAATGAGTTGTTTTGGAGAAGAGTCAAAAACCTTAAAAAACGGACAAGAAATCAAAACATTAACTTTTCTGAAGGCCATAACTTTTTTGTTAGAAAATTTGGATTTTAGCGCGTACACGGGGGAGCTTTGCTCGACCCTTTTGTTGATTAAATCCCAAAATTTTAGGTAATTTTTTGTGTAAAAAGAGATTGAGTGCAGCCGCTTATACAAGGGAAAATCAAAAGTCAAAAAGTAAAAAAAAAAACGATTAAAAATTTAAAAAGACGAAAAAATTGAAGGGCCTGCGGGCCACAACTTTGCTTGAAAAAGAATTGGTGTATCTTTTACAATTCCGGGGTCTTAAATTTTTGTGTAAAACTATTTGGGCGTAGCCGTTAATGCAGGGGTGCTTTCCACAACTTGTTCTGTCCATAAAACCCAAACTCTCAGATTTGGAATAGTAGTTTTCGAGACAATGTAGAAAAAATTGAAATGGGTAAAAAAACTACCCCACACATTTTTTCACTGGCTGTAAATGGGAAAAAGTAAAGAGAATCTAAAAATTTATGTAGGCACACAGAGGAGTGGTCGGACATCCCATTGGTTCCAGTTTTTTAAAAATCGGTTGAGTAATTTTTGAGGTGAGAAAAACTAATAAACTTTTTTTAAAAGAGAAAAAATTTTCCAGAAACGTTTTGAAAAAAATAAACAAGTAATTAAACAATCCGATCCCAATATTTTTTTTTCATAATAACTATTTCAAAGTTTTGGAAAATCAAATGAAAATTTTGGATAGTTTTTCGATTGCGGGATTTGCCACACATAAATATACCGCCTTTGCCACCTAGAAGTATTAAGTATTTAACGATCAGTCTTCAACCGCATTTAGGCTAATGCCAGCATATCGGTTTGATGGTAGCCGGACAACCTACCTCATTCCAATTTACCCTATTCCATTTTACCATATGCCAAATATGGGGTAGATTGGAATATAGGGTAGAATAGTATGAGGTAGAATGGCACAGGATAACTTGGAATCGGGTAGAATGTCATACAAGCCAACCTACCCTATTCCAATTTACCCTATTCCATTATACTCTCTGCCATTCTAACCTTTATACCAATTTACATCATGTCAATCTACCCTACGCCAATTTACCCTACACCTAAATTAAGTCGGAATGATAGGGATCGCCGCAGTCGCGCCAACGAAAATTAGAGCCGGTTATTGCCTCGAGATAGTCAGCTCAGAAATCTCTGACCATTTGAATTATTTATATATTATTGTAAATTGGCATAGATTAATTTAGCATGAGGTAGATTGGAACATAGGATAGATTTTTATAAGGTAGAATGGCATAGGATAAATTCGATTCGGGTACAATTTCTTGGAACTGGCTTAGTAACCTTAAAATTCAAAAATCAATACCCAGGCTGTCAATTATCTTTGTGAAATCGGCCTGACTAAAAAACAACCCCGAGAACAAATTTTCCTTCAATTTAAGAATGTTAGAACAATGTAAGATTACTAATAGAATACAAATTTATTCAAACTTTTAAATAAATTTCGTCAAATTTATTCAAAAATTTACATTTAATTTAATGCAGTAGATATCGCCCAGTATTTTTGGCTGGTGTATGTTAGAGCTCCTCTTTGTTTCAACTGATTTATATACCACCGTTTGCTTTACTCGTTACTACTTCAGCCAGCTTTTCTTCTAAACGTTTGCGGATAGCAAAATAATCGCTGTGGTATGTCATGTAATTATCTTCCATTATTTTTTTTGCTTCGCGTAGCTTCGCAATAGCTTCATCATTGCTGCAGCAACCTGACCATTCCTTCAAGACAATTGCAGTTTGGATACTCATCTCAGAGCCAAAACTTGTGTAGATCTGATGCGATTTTTCATATAACAAGGAAGCTTCTTTCTGGTCTTTAATGTTGAATTTTACGCGATCGGCTAATTTTCTAGTCGTGTAAGCAACTGACTCATGATTTCCAAGTGTTTCGGTCAGATCATCTTTGAAAGCAAGATGCTTTGAAATTATTGACTTGAGCTTATCCGGTTTGTCATTTTTATCTGTAATCGCGTCCAGTTGGGCACGGCGTAACTCTGTTAGCGTACGAGTTTTTTCGCACAATATTATAGGCCAATACTCCACGACCCAAGCATCCGAGCTAGTTAAAATTTTCTCATACATCTCAACAGATTTTTCATAACAATCAGCAATCAGCCACTCTTCCCAATCAAATGAATATGTGGGTTTCGTATCTTTCCCGTAGCTGTTATACCGAATAGAGCGAGCGATTGTATAATACAAGAAGCCCCGCGCTAAGCTTGTGTTCAATGAGTTATCATCAGCAACTATTTCCCGGCTTTTATTTAGAATGTTTCTTGATTTGTTGATGTTTCCCACAACCTTTTTTCGGCGCAGTTCAGAAGATATTATGCATTTGCAAACAATTAGAGCATTAGGCTCTTTTAGTTCCGCCATTATTGCTTCTAGTTTTTCAGCAAATGGAAGCAATAGGGTTCTGAAGCTGCTGAGTATCCGCAAAAAAGAGAAACATGCCAATATAGCAAAGCATAATTGGCCGCTCCAGCTGACAGGGAAAACATCATTTAGATCAGTAGCAGCTAGATCCAGATTGCGAAACGAGGCAATGAACTGATTTAAGTTGTGCCAGTCACGTCGCACAGAATCTAAGGTTGGGCCGAAGTTGTTTTTTTCAACCTGAGCAAGGGACCAATGAAGCAGCTTGTCGAAATAATTTCTGATATAAACAAGCTCCAATTTAGCAAAGTCGCTGATTTTCAGCCGAACGTAATCTTTAATAAAAGGATGTAAATAGAATAGCTTGGAACATTTGTCATACTCCACAAGACTCAAACCTTGACAGTCAATCAGCAAAATAATTCCATCTAATTTCGATTGAGAATAATCTCGAAAAATGCAGCTTATAGTTTTTTTGTCGAAACTATCTGGAAATATGCTTGCACAATTCATTAAAAGTGACTGTTCTTTGGTCAGTTTTTCAAAAGATAATAAAAGACTGCCTTCCAAGGTAATGAAGCCCTGACTGGATTTGAGCTGACGCAGCTCAGTGACAGTGATGTCGTCAATTCTCTGGACAAGAGCTGCCAATATCTTTAGAACTAAAGGAACGCCCCCTGACGATCTAACAATTTCTTGGATCAATTCATCCTCAAGTTCACTATGCAGCTTCTGTAGCCATTTTTTGCAATCTTCAGCTTCAAGGGGTTTCAAATCTTGTGTTTCGAACAAGGATTGATTCAATTCCAAATCGTAGGATTTATCTCTTGATGTACAGATAACTCTAACACCAGTAACAAAAATTTTGTTGATTATTTCGTTCACTATACCATATTGTCTGAATTTCCCTAGAAGTGTATCTATGTTGTCAAGAACAATTAATAGATTTTTTGATTGAACAATATTTTTGATGTGCGCGAACAAAATTTGCAGAGGATCAGGGGAGTCATTAACTGCTTGAGTAATAGCTGGAAACAGTTGGCACAGTAGTCTAACAGCGTTGGGCTTGACAAGTGTTTCATCAAGATCAGACGATAATTCCTTGAACGAGGCATTCAAGCAGATTTGTGATGCATTTGTATCCATTTCCTGTTTTGCGAACGTCCAAGCAAGTGTACTTTTTCCCATTCCGGGCGCTCCTGAAATTACAACAACCTTGGACTCCAATTTTTCTCTCAATACATCCAGGTAGTCTTGACGACCCGCTATTGGTCGAGTTTCAGGTATGTTGCTGCTTGGTAAGTTTGATTCTTTTTCTCGACTATTCGATACAAGTCGTTCATTGTTCTGTTGTGCTTCTTCTTTTCTTATTATGGATTCAAGTCTCGCCGTGCTTTGATTTATTGCACTGGAAGTACTTGCCTGCATTTCCTGCATTTTTCTAGTGATTTCATTTGTATCGTCCTTTGTTGCTCCTTTTTCCATCATCGACTGTAGTCTAGCCGCCGAATGATAAATTTCGCTGGAAGTTCCCGCTTGTAGCTCGTGCATTTTTCTCGTAATTTCATTAGTATCATCTTTCGTAGAGACGTTTGTGAACTGTTTTTCAAAAATGCTAATTTGTGAAACCACGTCCTGTAGATTATTCGAGTTGTCGTGTAAATCTTAAATTGAAAATAAGGGTCGCAATATTGTTCTAGATGAAGCTATAAGCCTAGAATGTTTTCAACTCAAAACTACTTTTAAATTTAAAAAAATCAATAAACGCTCATTTTCAGTTCATCAAGCAATATATTTTTTGGGTACGGCGACATTTTTATCAGGCGACAAAAGGTAACAAACATAAAATTGTAACAGGGCATTTTCAAGTAGTGACTCTTGCTCCGCTGCGCTTACATTCGGCACGAGAGGAATTGTGCGATTGATCAGTGTTCGCCGTTCAATATAATGTTGCAAGTTGTCGATTGATACAAAATGTCGCATGTTTGTGGTATCATATTCTAAAGCAAATGGCGTTTCAGAAAAATATAAAAGTTTGAAAAAAAAACATAAGGTGCTTAGACCGAATCGATGGATACGCAGTAAACTATTTTGCGATCCTTATATGAGCGACAGTACCTGCTTTGATTACTTCCAACTCTCTTTCTAAAGACATTAGGAATCTGTGAAACTCATTCGGATGATTTGCTAGAAACGATGTGAACTTCAGTGTTTTATTATTTTCCACAAACTTGATAATATCATCGCACACTTGTGTTAAACTTGAAGTTTTGCCACATTCTTTGATTTGTTCAACTAAATGAGTAACTTTTCCGTCATATTCGGCTGCTGACAAAAAACGTGTTTGCCCGTGTGCCATATTGTTCCGCAGGCCTCGTAGTATTTGGTTGCAAGCGTCAATGGTTTTGTCTTGCTTTAAGTGGCCGACAATGGTTAAGCGGCCGCATTACCAGAACTCAAAAGGTCTTGCAATGTGTCAAAACACGCAGAATCAGTCATATTGGGTTGGTTAAGAAAAATTTAAGAACTATTGCCTGCCCTATATTTTAAGTAGTGACAAAAAATGAGGGCGGTAGAAACTCACATTATTGAAACGATATTAAATGGATTTTAATGATTCAACAAAAAATATGACTATACCCGGGTTGACAAAAAATGCTAGTCATACAATTTTCATATATGGAAAAATGTTAATCATACACTTTTCAGGCAATTCCATAAGTACAGAAAATTGCATGAAAGGTCTATGATTAGTATTTTCTCGTATATGGAAATTGTATGAGTAGCATTTTTCCATAAACCAAATATATTTATATTTTTCATTTTAATTTCTTAAAAATTTTTTGGTTGTGTTCGTAACCGAACACAAATGACATAAACCTTGGTTACTCAAGAAAGTTTTTCTTTTTTAATTTAGTACGATACACCGAATTTTTTGCCAAAACAAGAGAAAAATTTTTCGAATATTCGACGACACCATTTTAGCAAAATGTATGAAATTTGTATGATTAGTATTTTTTCATGGACTTAGTTTATGGAATTGTATGATTAGCATTTTTGGTCTATGGAGGTCTACCCGGGTAATCAGTTTTAAATAAATTTTATCAATTCGTTTAGAATTTTATAACGACTAATCATGAAAAACCGATACCAGCAATATTTTCTGTGAAAAGCCAGAGCAAGATCGCTATATATTTGTGAAATCACTTTGTGATTTTTACTATTATGATGATAGAGTGAAACTTATTTGCTGTGTAATTGAAAACCAAATATCTTTTCTTTGTCTGTTTTTTGTATTTTGTTTTGCAGGAGCTTTTGGTAGGCTACTGTGAATATACTGTTTAACAAAATCTAACAAGACTGCCCATATCAGGCTTACGCCTTGAATGTTTTGATTGCTTTTTTCCGTCTTTTGAGAAATGTTCAAAAAATATGATGAAAGCTTCAAAAAAAGAAAATAGATTTTTTCATTGGTTAAATCGACCACTACTCTGTAAAAAATGAGGCGTGTCAAAATATCCAGGGTGTCTACCTGATTCCAGCCATCTTGTTGACTTTTAATAAACTTTATATGCTTTACAAATCAGGGAACCCCTTGAAAAAAATATACAAGCAAGACAAAGAAAAAAATGGCCTGTAACTATAGAACAATCCAATTTCACTCAAACAGAAAAAAAAACACAACGCGGTTCTGCTAATAAATAGCAATCCAGCGCTAAAAATTCACTGAAACAATTGATTTTCTGGGTTTTCATGATAAGTTACTATATAATCATTTAATTCTAAAAATGGGTAAAAATGGATAACAATGGGTTAAAAACGGATTATAATCTTTTTTTTTGTCAGATCAGCAAAAACCATTTCATTGACTTGAAGAAATATAATAATATAATATATTAACTACAATCAATTTTTTTCGAAAAAAAATGAACGTTTCACGAGCGGTGCTGCCTATTGACATCCAGGCAGCTGCTTTTTGCTCAACATTCGTTTGATTAGATGAAGTGAGATTTCCTTAAAACTTGAAAAGTTATTCTTGTTTTCAATTTTTTTTTCATCTCCACTTTTTTATACATTTTTTAGTTCTTCAGGTTTGCTGAACTTTATTTACATTGCGTGAGAAAAATTAAACTGTGTGCAGACAACAGTTGAAATTCAACTGCCCAAAGTTTCACATGTCAATTATGCATAACTCAATCAATTCAAAACTCTTCTGTAATATTCGGGTTTGACACTTTAAGCCTTGTGTTTTTCGACTGCCTTTTAAGATCTCTGGAGAACTAATAACATCAAAAAATTAAATTTAAAGAGAAAAATGAAAAAAAGATTTTTTTAAAATAGATTTTTTGTGAAAACATTCCCCACACGTCAATATAAGTCAAAGTGATATGTTTTGCTTCTATTAACAAATCAATTATGGCATATAAGCTTCCTTGAACCAATTCGGAACAATTTCGTAGACGAATTAATACTCGCTTTCGCGTTAATAGCGCGAAATATATCGCGCGTTAATTGTCCCAAATTGGCCAAAATAGCAATATTTAAGCCCCCATAACGTTACAAAAAATAATCACTGGTAATTTTTGTTCCAAATTTAAGCTCAGAACAAGAATGGCTTTCGAATGATATTAACGAAGTTCTGTCAAAAGTGGCTAGTTAAAAAGTCGAAATTTGTCTGAAGAAAAAAAATCCACCAAGAGCACAAATGTTCCTTTACTTTCGTTACGAAAGTTGGAACAATAAGGAGTTGCAACAAACTGCGCTGAAATCAATTATTGTCACAAAGTTTCCTTTCGTATACAATATAATTGGTATTTTCCTTGTAAATTCAAGTGCAATGATATAATTTTTTTTTCAAAATCTGCAAAAGCTCATGCAAAAAAGAAAGCTGAATCATCTTTTTACATAGGTTTCCATGGCGTCATTTTTCCGCGGTGCCTTTATTTTTTTTTTTGAATTGGAAGAGCGATAGATTAGATAAATGATAACGTCCTCATAGTTTTTTCATGCTTTTTGGCCGACACTTGTTTTCAATTTTTTTTTCATCTCCACTTTTTTACACAATTTTTAGTTCTTCAGGTTTGTTGAATTTTATTTACATTACCTAATCCTAATAGTTTCAGATTTCGAGAAGGAAAATTTTTGAAAAAAAAGCTATTTATAATGCATTTTAACGAGTTACCAAATAAAATGATTGTTAAATGAATTGTGTTTTTACGGATATAATAAAAAAATAAAGTTTACCGAATTAATTTCATGATAAAATTGCAGCAACACTGGATTTTAGTCGATTTTCTTTATAATTGATTTTTTTCCCATTAATATCCGTTAAAGCTGGACTTAAAGCTAATGAAACGCTCAGTTTCAAAAAAATCTACCCACCTCAACAAGGGTTGAGTTTGCATTTTAAATCTGAATTAAAATTTTAAATTTATTCTCTTTGTCTAGTAAATAAAGCAACAAAAAAATTTCAAAATTAAACAAAATAAAAAAATTAACTTTAAATCAGAAAGTAAGTGCTAACAAGACTGCTCAAATCCGCCTGCAGTTTAATTGGTCTCCAATAGTTTAGCAGTCGATAAGCAAATTAGAGGGAGGCGCTTGATAGAAAATTAGACGATTCTGCAAAACTACAGTTGTGAGAAAAAAGACGAAAGTGAGATTTAAATTGTTTGCAGACAAATTGCGTGAGAAAAAATAAACTGTGTGCAGACAACAGTTAAAATTCAACGGCCCAAAGTTTCACATGTCAATTATGCATAACTCAATCAATTCAAAACTCTTCTGTAACATTCGGGTTTGACACTTTAAGCCTTGAGTTTTTCGACTGCCTTTTAAGATCTCTGGAGAACTAATAACATCAAAAAATTAAATTTAAAGAGAAAAATAAAAAATATATTTTCTTAAAATAGATTTTTTGTGAAAACATTCCCCACACGTCAATATAAGTCAAAGTGTTATGTTTTGCTTCTATTAACAAATCAATTATGGCATATAAGCTTCCTTGAACCAATTTGGAACAATTTCGTAGACGAATTAATACTCGCTTTTGCGTTAATAGCGCGAAATATATCGCGCGTTAATTGTCCCAAATTGGCCAAAATGGCAATATTTAAGCCCCCATGACCTTACAAAAAAAATCACTGGTAATTTTTGTTCCAAAATTAAGCTCAGAACAAGAATAGCTTTCGAATAATATTAAAGAAAATCTGTCAAAATTGGCTAGTTAAAAAGTCGAAATTTGTCTGAAGAAAAAAATTCCACCAAGAGCACAAATGTTCCTTTACTTTCGTTACGAAAGTTGGAACAATTAGGAGTTGCAACAAACTGCGCTGAAATCAATTATTGTCACAAAGTTTCCTTTCGTATACAATATAAATGGTATTTTCCTTGTAAATTCAAGTGCAATGATATAATTTTTTTTTCAAAATCTGCAAAAGCTCATGCAAAAAAAAAGCTGAATCATCTTTTTACATAGGTTTCCATGGCGTCATATTTCCGCGGTGCCTTTATTATTTTTTTTTTGAATTGGAAGAGCGATAGATTAGATAAATGATAACGTCCTCATAGTTTTTTCATGCTTTTTGGTCGACACTTGTTTTCAATTTATTTTTCATCTCCACTTTTTTACACAATTTTTAGTTCTTCAGGTTTGTTGAACTTTATTTACATTACCTAATCCTAATAGTTTCAGATTTCGAGAAGGAATATTTTTGAAAAAAAAAGCTATTTATAATGCATTTTAACGAGTTACCAATTAAAATGATTGTTAAATGAATTGTGTTTTTACGGATATAATAAAAAAATAAAGTTTACCGAATTAATTTCATGATAAAATTGCAGCAACACTGGATTTTAGTCAATTTTCTTTATAATTGATTTTTTTCCCATTAATATCCGTTAAAGCTGGACTTAAAGCTAATGAAACGCTCAGTTTCAAAAAAATCTACCCACCTCAACAAGGGTTGAGTTTGCATTTTAAATCTGAATTAAAATTTTAAATTTATTCTCTTTGTCTAGTAAATAAAGCAACAAAAAAATTTCAAAATTAAACAAAATAAAAAAATTAACTTCAAATCAGAAAGTAAGTGCTAACAAGACTGCTCAAATCCGCCTGCAGTTTAATTGGTCTCCAATAGTTTAGCAGTCGATAAGCAAATTAGAGGGAGGCGCTTGAAAGAAAATTAGACGATTCTGCAAAACTACAGTTGTGAGAAAAAAGACAAAAGTGAGATTTAAAATGTTTGCAGACAAATTGCGTGAGAAAAAATAAACTGTGTGCAGACAACAGTTAAAATTCAACGGCCCAAAGTTTCACATGTCAATTATGCATAACTCAATCAATTCAAAACTCTTCTGTAACATTCGGGTTTGACACTTTAAGCCTTGAGTTTTTCGACTGCCTTTTAAGAT